CGACGAAGAGCGTGCCGGACGCCCGAGCACTTCAACAACAGACGAAAAAATTAATTGCAGGGGCGTGGTGCATCATGAGTTCTTGCCAAAGGGTAGAATGGTCAATGAGGAATATTACCTGCAAGTTATGCGCAATTTGTGGGAAGCAATCCGCCAGAAACGCCAGGATTTGTGGAAGAACAAAAATTGGCTTTTGCACCACGATAACGCCCCTGCTCACACATCGTTGCTTGTGCGCGACTTTTTGGCCAAAAACAACACACTAATGATGCCGCAGCCACCGTATACCCCAGATCTGCCCCCCTGTGATTTTTTCTTGTTCCCTAAACTGAAGAGGTCCATGAAAGGACGACATTACGCTACGATTGACGAGATAAAGACGACATCGAAGGAGGAGTTGAACAAGATAAAAAAAAATGATTTTTTGAAGTGCTTCGAAGATTGGAAACACCGTTGGCACAAGTGTATAATATCTCATGGGGATTACTTTGAAGGGGACAAAATAGATATTCATGAATAAATAAATAATTTTTGAAAAAACACAAAATTCGCGATATTTTTGGAATACACAAATTCCAAAAGCAGAATGTTCTGCACAAGTAGCGATTCGAAGTTCCAATATTCATTTCGAAATGAAGTTTTGGACAGCTAATGACAGCTTACTCTTCTTTTTTTATTGGTGTTAGCACCACTTATGCGATTATAACCCAATCAACAACATCAGGTCATTCATTTCTTTTTTTCGCTGTTTGGCGCCGCTTCATGGGGTAAAGTTGCTCGAAACAGGCACATTAGAGCAAAACCTAAAGTAGCAGGCAGGGCATATTTTTGTTAATTTTTTTTATTTAGTATACATTAGGCCATCAGAATAGTTTTAATATGACAGAATCGAGCGACGTAATCCAGAGGTAGGATCACTCAAAGTTGGACAATCTAAAGTTGAATTTTTTGTGTTTAAAAATTGTTTAATTGGTGTCTTGATAAAAATGTTTATAGAAAATACATTTGTCAAATAAATGAGTATATTTCTAGCAATTAGCACCTAAATATTAATGCAATTAATTCCTCGTTAATATATTTTTCCAGAATTGTTCAGTTTAGAATGTATAATCGTTCGAACTTTTTACAAAAAACAGTTTTGGTCAAAATAACGATGTTCTTTGGCTCAAAACTTTTTTTAAATCAACGCAGATCAACGAAACACTTCGGATCCATAAGCTATGAGCTTTTATAAAGCAAATGATGTCAAAGATATGTGCAGTGCTCTGCATTACATTGCAATATTCCAATTTGAACTTACTTCTGCAGACCAAAATTTGCTAAATCGAAAACTTTTTATATGAAAATTGGTTGGCATACACTTCTAAAGTTTCTTAGTAATCTTTAAACCAGTTGCAATTATATGTATTTCGAGCTTTGTAGCTCATGAAACGATTGCTGGCCGAGTTCCTTCGCCAATTTGTGGTTTTTGCGTCTAGATGTTTTTCCAACAGATGGAGACACCACCAAATTAATATAAGCCGCCTTCGCACAGCCGTCGGATTATTAAGTGGAGCCTTTTTAGTTCATGTCAAAAATACAGTCTGAGGGTTTTGCATTCCCTGCGGAGAGGTGAGTTAGTTACCAGGACTCGTAACATGGCCTTACGAATGACAGTACACAATGTCAACCACTTGGCTATTGCGGCCGTCAATGTAATTTGGAGTTTATAAAATGAAAAAATATTTGTGAGAAATCTCAATTTACGACTGTAGGGCGCCAGTCCCAGGAAGAGTAAATACAATATGTTTTATACCATTCGATTCTTTCAACAATATTAAATTAAATGTCTAAGTAACATAGAAATTCCAAAATAAAATAAGCAATGCGCATGCTTAAAGCACTTTTACCTCAATGTGCGACGGGCTGGAAATACCAAGTGAAACCAGGTCACCCTAGAACCGATCCTTGAAACGGAGTGACCCAGACAGTGTTGCGGTTGTCTCTTCATTCGCTGCACAATGTCAATGTCATCGTATAACTCGTACTGCTTATCGTCTGTGGTCCTCTTGGATAAATGGGATACAAATTATGCATCTATGATTAACGTGTGATCCAAGTAGAGATACTCTTTCTATAGCCACTTTTTAACAGATTACGCGTGAGTCGTGTCAAGCTGTCATGTTAATTTGATTCAGTATTTGGCATCTCATCAATGAAAAAGACTTATGCTTAAATAAAGTTTACAAATCGGTAAACTTTATTACGAAAATTCACATTGTTCATGCGTCTCGCTCCACATATGGCTGTTATTGGATAATATTCGACCGAATAGACCACGTCCAGCGCGTAGCGAAGAAAATATAGCGACCGTTGGTGAGAGTGTACACGAAAACCGTCTCGAAGAGTCGATTCGGCGCCGTTCGCAACAATTCGGACTTCGGAATTGACATATAAAATAACTTTGCGCATTTTACGTCTTGATCTTAAATTGGAAGCGTACAAAATACAGCGCGTGTAAGAATTTATCCGCTCGACCTTACCACGCGACCTTGCTTCACTCTATGGGCTGCTGAAAAACGCCCAAGATGAATCGACATTTTCGAGCCAAATTTTGTTCATCGACGAAGTCCATTTCAGGCTCAATGGGAATGTAAACAAGCATAATTTGCGGCTTTTGGGATAAAAATCACCCTGAAGAGCCGCCATTTCATGCAGAAAAAAACAACGGTTTGATATATTTGTTCAAAAAAGATGCCGGTGAGAGCATAACTGTCAATGATAACTCCTTTATTTAATGCCTGAAATTGAAGTTCGTGATCCCGGCGACATTTGGTTTCAACAGGACCCCACCCATCGCTTCCGTCAATGGATTTATTGAAGCGCACTGCAATGAGCAGTTGATTTAACATTTTGGGACGGCCGACTGCCCACCAAAATTGTATGGTATCACACCGTTAGGCCTTTTCCTGTGGGCATATGTAAAGTCTAAAGTCTATACGGATAATCTCGCTTCGATTCATGCCTTAAAACAAAACAGCGCGCATGTCATTCCCCAGTTACCAGTCGAAATGCTAGAACTAGTCATCGAAAACTGGACTCGCCATGGATCGTTCGAGATGTAGCCACGGCTATCATTTGACAGAGATAATCTTCAAAAAATAAATGCTAAAGAATGTTCTTTTGAATGATAATAAACATTCCCCATTAAATTTGAATTTTCTGCGTTTTTTATATAAAAAAGTAGAGAACCGCGAAATTGATCTCTCTGAAAAAAATTTCGCTGTGTGATCAACCGAAAAAGTAATTTCACAATTTTCAGAAATTGAAATTCAATTTCCATGGAATTTCTTACATCTGTCGGCACCTGACGTACTAGGAAACTTCTCCTGTATTGATGGCAACTTTTAAAGGTTTCAAAATCGCAAACTCAAAAAATTTTCCTTGAGCCCAACTGTTTCTAATGTAGCTCTAAATTAACACACAAATATCCAGCATATTAAATAATTAAACATTCTGTGTACTGTTGCCTTACAAGTCGGCGCTGCAGTGTTTCAAAAAAGCAAATTCGTGTGGAAAGTACCGTAAACACTTTGGGTATTTCCGAAACATACCTTTGCCAACTATACACCTTCGCATGTACGAGTATTTATTTATCTTTCATTAAGTGCTGACAACAACAAAAAACAACAACAACAATTCACCTTTAACTTACCATTTTATGCTGCGTGGGCATTGTTATTATGTACAACAACAACAATTTCAAAAACGGCAATATGCATAAATTAATTCAATAACAACTCACTATGCTTCTGTACTTCTCTGCTTAAGTGTTGCCTAAAGCCGGCGCTGCACCACAAATAAAACAACAACAGCACAACATGTAGACAGTTGAGTTTTCGTGTATTTTTGGTTTTTTACTTTTCAATAAAAATAAAAATTATAGAATTTTAAGAAATTTAAGAATACATACATATTTACAATTAGTTTGTGTTTTGAAATATTTGCTTTGAAATTAAATGAACTTGCGAGAAAAATATTAAAATTTTTAAATTTTCTTTTTAAATTCGTTATGTCTAGTTTTTTTGAAAAAACTTTATACAATATAAATATAATATTAAATAAAGTTTCTTTTCTAAAACGAGTATTAAGCGCGTGTGTGTTCATCTTCATCTTTGAATTGGTTCATAACATCAAATATTTATTGAATAAGTATACCTACGAGTACATATGTATGTACGTATGTATGTTCAGTGCAACATCAATAAATATAAATATCTTACAATTTTAACAATAATTATTTTTATTTTTAATTTTTATCATTTTAAAATACTTTTGTGTAGAATTAAATTTTAACAATAAATGTTCGTATGTACTCGTATGTATGTTTGTATATAGTGAACATGTTTTCGTTTGTTTGTAAATAAATATAAATATTTAATTTTTTCTTCATATTATTTTTCAATATATTTTTAACGTTAGTTTCCCTGTTGAAAAATAAATTTTTCTTTATTTCTTTTCATACAACAGCAACAACAATCACATTTTTTGCATTCATATATTTACATAACTATGTACATTATTTACATAAGTATTTATATAAATTTAATTCAAAAAAGTCATATAGCTCTAGGTAGCATGAAGACATTTGTGTGTATGTACAATGTGCTAAATATAACAAATTTATCGAATATTTAAACAATTTTTAAATATTTTTTTTGCGAAGAAATAAAAAAACGTCGTATTTAGTCTTTTGCTTTATTAATATATTGTTTTTACATTTAACTTATTGATTTTTTCTATGTGTCTCAAATACTATTATATTTGTATACGCACATACATACATAGATATATATTTTTTTTAACAAATGTGCCATTTTTTCATTAATTTCAATTTAAAATATTTAGTTGTTTTAAGCTTTTCACACAAGTACAATTTATTTATATCTTTTAATTTTTACATTAAAAATTTGAATATAAATATGTACATATGTACTTATATATTACAAAAGCTCATAAAATATTTATTTACAATTTAAACACATTCTATATACAATTAAATTTATATACTTAAATTTTAAGACTTTCGACATTATCTTTGTTTAACTTAGTTGAATATATTATGCGAGAGAGACCTCTATAGTATTCGTCCCCCAACTAGAGATTCGATTCTGTTCGATTCGATTATTATAATAATAATTTTTTAAATTTTTTTTTAATAATTTTTTTTAAATAATTTTGAAGTTTAGTCATGTGACTTTCAAGCAAAAATAAAAAGCATATCATTTGAAGTTATGGCCAAGAGTTTAGCTTCGGTATAAGGATAAAGGTTTGCCATTATAATAGTGGCAAGTGACCGCTGCCTCGAATTAACTCCATGCGAGAGGTTCCATTTTCGAAAATTTTTTGCCAAAATTGAGCAATAACGTGGTGATTCTTCTATTCCAGGGCGTAAATCATCTCGAGCTTAACTGTGTAGACAAGCGACTTCACATAACCTCACAAAAATGAGTCGAGTCTTACGATTTTATAGGCCACGCCACAGACGCACCACAATATGTGAGCGCACAAGCCAAGATCTTTTTGAAAAATTGTCCATAAAGTGAATGGGAGCAGCTCTAATGTCATTCGTTAAGGGCGAATGAAGTAATGCGGCTCTTTTTCGATATTCTCCTCCACAGCAGCAATAGTGTCTTTGGTGCGCTCTGTTGGCAAGACATACGTTGGGTATAACAGGGTCATGTCTGGATAGGTATGAGTTTTGTTTACTACAATATCCGAATCTTAATTGTGTCAGTATTACGCGGAACTCCTTAGTCAGTCATGTGTGGTAGTTTCACTCCGAGAATGTCATTAAGTGGAAGAGAGTTCAGGAAGATGTTGGCGGAACACTCGGCGAACAACATTTAATGCCCATCGGCAAGCTGTTTTGTCTCTAAGGTAGCAACCCAGTAGAAATGATTGGGCATTAAGGCGTTATGCGTAGTAAAGACGCTTCGCTATGCAAGCGATGCTCTGGCGATATCAAGAGGTTTTCTGTCACCACCCTGAGGGTGGCTATGAAATACTTCAGCATTACATGGCAAATGTAATCGTATGCGAAGTAAAGGAGTAAAGGCTATCGAATGTGACTCCGAGTAACTTCAGGTTGCTAATAGTCGGAAATTTTGAGGCATCAAGAGGCAAGCAGGGAATATCGAGGGTTTTAGATGTAGTTGTCTTACAATGAAGAAGTGGGAAAGGTCTTCGAGATAGCAATCATTTTTCGAACAAAAATAATCTGTAACATGGTGCCCTCTGTACGTCAGAGATGCCTGATAAAAAAGTGGATATTTGGTGTCAGATTCATGTTGAGCTTAGTCCATCGCACGCCTTGATTGAGGAGTGTATTATGGAGGAGTGTACTTATGAGCGCTGCTCCCACCATGAAGTCATGTGTGCAATTTGAAATTACTAATTGCTGCTGATAACTTGGATGGTTGATTAAAGGATTTTTGTGCCCCCGTGCAATTCAACAAAGCGTTAGCGAAGAGCTCGCTCGATTTTATACATTGTTTAGTTTTCTTTCAACCATGTGTACCCACCGCTGATAGGGTGGAACTAGGGGCATCGTAGAAGAGCCAACAGCTCCATTTTATCACCAATTTCTTTATATCAGTCCCAAAAGGTGCTTCACGACGACTGAAAAATGTTTTATCTTTACGAACCATCTCTGCCGGGTCTTAATAATTTTTAGCGAATATCGAATAAATACAGCTTCAAAAGTGATTTCTACCGGAATATGAGGCTGTTAAATATAATACTTCTGATCGGGAAACGCTTTAAGATACAAACTCATTTAAAACTTATAAATTATAATCTAATCTATAATTATCTTATATTAATTCTAACTATGAATTGAAACATGGATTTAACTAAACTTATGAAAATTACACACATATATGTATTTTTAAAATCTCTTAGTGCGGTTGTCTGTACTAATTGGTTTGTTTCTTCATTTAGCCTCGTAGTAGGCTACAACACCCTTAAAATGAATAAAACGCAAATGGTCCCCATAAGCAGCCTAACCCTCATTTATCACATTAGAGTTGCAGTTTGTAGTGAGACCAACTTTCTCTGCCACGTTTCATTTTTTTTTTTTGAATTTTTTAATACCTAAAACTCTCAAGATGCCTTAAATTTAAACAACTTGTGGGTTTGGAACGTCATCTATCACTTGTGCATGAATTTCGGGCTCATCACCAGCAGTGCCTCGCAGCGCAACTTCATCGAGCATATCATGAGTACATTTACTTTTGGTTATTCACTGTGCTTAGTAGGTCTGCCTAACGAATTATCTACTATACGTGTGTATGTGTATGTCATATGTACACAGTCTTTACAGCCAAGTCTTGTCGTCCGTTGACGCCGTGACAAAAATGGCACGCGATGTGTTGGACGACAATGAAGTTTTTCTTGTGGTTGTCGCTGTTGTTGCTGCAGCCTTTGTAGTGGATGCTGCTGTTGTTGTTGAGCCTAATGTGCCCCTACATCCCATAGGATCCTTTGCACGGTGGTGGTTGTTGTTGTTGTTATTATTATTATTCCCATTACTATTGCATATACTCATAGCATACGATTTTGTACTACCGTTAACAGTTTTATATTCCCCAACTATATTCAAACCACTACCGACCAACTCACGTTCTTCCACCACAGTGGCACTATTGTTAGTGTTGTTGCTATTGTTACTGCTGCTGCGTGTGCGATCACATTGTCAGGATATGGCACGCACATTTTGCGTATCCATCACACTAATAACGCCACCCACAGGGACAGCACCACCAGCAACACCATTACTGTCAACAACACCGACAGTGCCCAGTAGCGCTAGCGGCGGCGGCGGCGGTGGTGGTGGTGGCGGCGGCGTTAGCGGCAGCGTGGAAGTCGCAGACGCGTCTTTGTTGTCGGCTCTCTCAGTTGTCGTTGGCCACAATTGCAAGGGAGGCATGGCAACTTGCTGTGCGCTACCATTTCGTAGGGGCACTTTGATGGGCTCAGCTTTCATTACAAATCCATATTGACTCACCATACCCGGCGTGGAGCTTAACGAAGTCAACGTTGTTAGTTCGTGACTGTTGCTAATGCTATAGCGTTGATGATATGCGCTTGGATTGTTGGTGCCAATTGGCGCCGAGTGTCGCATTGTATCTCGATGGGATACTATTGTGGAATTACGTAACATACCTGGAAATAGGAAATTGTGCAATATTTTGTAAATATTAATAGAACGCGTTAAAGGGGTATGTATAAATATATAGGGTTATTCATTTCGTGGTTTTTAAAGTACAGGGATATATTTTGGTATTTGTAAAATTTAAGTGACAAACATAACATGTTTAGATTTAGATAAAAATTATACAATTATGAAATTGAAATCTATTACAAAAATGGCCTTAAGAGAATATTATGACACACATACACTATCCTCTAACTACTCAAGCACTTGGTAAAATTTTAAAGAAATTTTGAAAGACGGTTACAGATATTATAAGCCATTCCAACTCAGATATCGCTACTGCCAGAGAAAGTGTAGCCAAAGACCCGAATGTGTCTATTTCTCGACTGGCTGGGGCTTTCTCACAGCACGTCATGGCATATTTTGTACTTTGACTTACATCTAAATTCATATAAAGTCCAGTTCACACAACAACCGAAGCCAGCTGAACAATCACAACGCCGTACATACGTCGGTTGGCTGCTTGAACAATGAACAGTAGACGGCGATTTTTCGAACAAAATTTTCTTCAACGACGAAGCACATTTCTTACTCAGAAAACAAGCAAACTTGTCACATTTAGGCACCGAAAATCGTCAAATATTTGAAGAGAGTTCATTACGCAAAAAAAACTTACTTCTTTGAAAATGACGTCTCGCCGTTGTCTGTCAATTCGGAGCGTCATGATCGTATGATATCCGGACTTTTTTTTGGCATAAGATTGAAGAACACAACAGGAACAATATGTGGTTACAACGAGATGGCACAAAAAAGGGCGAATATGGCTTTATTGCGAAGGAAATCTTTCGGTCACGTAATTTCTCATCTTGGCGATGTGTACTGGCCACGGAGTTCACCCGATTTGACCAGGTTGGTTTTTTTTGTGGGAGTATTTAGGCGAATAAACATTTAACTCTTGAACACAGTTATGGCTGGGATAACGCCTAATATGTACCAAGTCGAAAATTACCTCAAATGGGGAGAAGTGGTCGAAGTGGTTGATAACTGTAGTGTGTCACGTTTATTTTCGAAACCGCAAAATGGATACCCATGTATATGTGTTTTATTGTTAGTAAAATAGGTATCTTATAGTGAAAAGGAAGATAACTATGTAAAGATTCTGGTTAGATATTTCTAGTATCTAATTTTTTAAAGATGAAACTATACCAGAGGGATTAATTATCATTTAAACTACTGCACTGGTAGCTTGGTTTTGGTTTTACTAAAGTGTTCGATTTGCCATTTTTTGTCATATAATTACGATAGCCGAGTGGTTGTAGATTGTCCCTGTCGCGCTTGGGAGCCGTAACTCTAATATCACTTTATGAAAGTCGTTCCAGCAGTTTATTTAAAGTTATCGACTGCCGACTTTGTAGAGTGCATGAGAAAGTTTTCCCTAAAAAAAATATTTCACAGGAAACTAATAGTTCGCATATCAGTAAAGTGTTTGTCCAGGATTGAAGAAGAGTTACCCGACGATATGCGCCAATTACCGGCAATCAGTCTTATTGTCATATTATACAATGTCTTTTTGAGTGTAGAATGCGAAGGATTCAAGCCGTTTGCCAACGCACTCGACATTATTGCTGTGGCCTTAGACCCGTTAAGTCTACTATCATCAAATCCTGGAGAAGACCTGCGAAAACAGGTCGACTTCACTCATTTCTTTGCCGATTACAGAGCTGCTCTCGAAAAGAGATCACCTGCACGCCATTATGTCTATGTTTCTTTTCAAACAATTCAATACCGTTCGAAGTTTTAGACGCAACAATGCTGTTGTTGTTGTAAATGCAAAAATATTCCCCAAAGTACTTTAAGGGGAATGTTACTGTTATGTCTGTCACATTGGCCGGATAAAAATCTGGATAGTTCTGGCTTAAAGACCCGGCTTTCGCGAGAACTATTGGATTTTAGTCACCTCTCACGACAGGCATACCCTACCGCGGGTAAACTCTTGAACCACTAACCAAACGCAGGGGGGGTTACACGCGACAATCATCAATCTTGCTTCCTATTTTACTTTGGGGTCGGGTCTGACTGTCAACTAGGACAAAAGAAAGTACATGCTGTGTGTGAACAACATGTTACAGCGGTCCGCCATAGTTTTGAAGTAAAAACCGACAATAATATCAGCCTAGAGAGTAAGCGAAACACTTTCCAATAGATGTTACTATGAACTCAGTAAGCAAATATACAGTAGAGCCCTTATACGACCGACAAAACTAACACTATACAGGACGCTCATTTTGCCAGAGCTTTTATACAGCGCAGTAACATGGATTGCAACGCAGACAGATGCAGCAGCAGAGAAAAATACTTTACAAAATTTTCAGTACCAAGCGTATTGAGAACCATTATCGTATTCGGGTAGTTACAGTGTCAGCGCTGGCACGAGCACCTCCTACCTACGGATGAAAGTGCTTCATCAAAGAAAGTGGACGAAGCGAAAGCCGATTGAGGAGTGTGAGATAGAAATACTGACATGAAGAGAACCTATTGGAGACGTCAGCCTTCTACACAACTGAACTTTAGTGCTTGGGCGGGGATGGTATTTAAATATGATTACCACTATATGTTATGGCTTAGCGCATCTACTAAAAAAAAAAAGATTTCGGATTGTTATCCTAGGCGTACGTTTCGTGGTCGTAGTCGCACGGCTTTCAAAAACCCGTTATGAGAACCCCTGAAGGAAATTAGTCAATAACATGCTTGGGTATAAAAAAAATTTCAAATGACACCGCCTTTCTTTGGGGTCAAAAAGTATATTTAGAACCAAAAAGTGGGTTGAAAGAATTCGATAAAATTTGATACTTTTCATTCTCTTGGTCTATCAAGATAATGAAGCGAACATGGGCTTAACCAGGTAAAAATTACGCTTTTGTGTAAAAAAATTAGTTAATTTTTTTGCTTTCCAAACAACCCACTTGACCCGAGAACATATAATTAAGGGGTAAACCACTATAGAGGTTGAAAAATAGAAAAATTTTTTGTAATATGGGAAATGGAATAGATTTTCTATTTAACCATTTCATTGAACATATTCCAAAGTATAAAAATATTCTCTTTAATTATTTTTTTATGAAAAAATTGCGGTGATGAAATCCTTTATTTAATCAATGTTTTTTTCGAAAGGCCTCCACGGGAGGACCGATTTTTTCTAAATGATGAGATGTGAAACAGAAGAGCAACAAGTTTTGTCATTTACAAACTATGGTCTTTAGAAATGTGTACTGACTTATTTCTAATTTAATTTCTGTGAAAGTGACACCCTTTTATTAAAAAGATTGATTTTTGACTAAATATACGTAATAAATTATATTGAAAAGAGTTTACATCTAATCAAAAAAAGCTACGTACTTTAAATAGAAAATGCATTTGTGAAACTACCATCGCAGAAAAAACGATGTAGTTTGAAAAAAATGTGATTTTGAAAAAAAAACCGATTAAAGTTTTCATTGTTTCACTCAGCATCACTTGCATATAGTTTTTAGGACGCAAAAGTGTCCTGCGAGCAAAAAAAAGTGCGCTTTCCAAAAGGCAGTTATGTATATACAATTGCTGGCCCAACCTTATCGGTATGCTACTGAAATCCAACCAAAAATCGCTATCGGAGGTGCAGAAAATGACATTATTTATTTGACCGACCTTTAGATTTAGGATAAAATTTTTAAGGAATCAATCAAGAAAGCGTGTTTTTAAGCTATAAGTGCGTAGAGAGTGGTCAACTTGACGCATTGAACTGGGCATTGAAGGAACAATCCAAATGAAATTAAGACAAGAGAACTCGCAAAACTGTTCCTACAGGTACAGTTGATTTGCCCCCAAATGCTGCAATTTGCAGTAAGCTAGGCAGTCAGCTGGCAATTAAGATTTTTTTTACAGAAAGTAAGGAGTACCAAAATAATATTGGTGCCCTGCTAATGTACAACAACAAGACAAATGTAAACGAGATGAAAGGACAATGACTCATTTCAACTTTGGATAGCCAAAGTAGTAGTGTTTTGGTAATATAAATGTGCTTGCGACATGCTGCCGGTTGTCAACAGCAGATACAATATAAACATAACCACACTTTCGTGCATAGTTATATAAAAGTTATATTAATATGTACAATCTAGCGGATGCTATGCAGCTATCATATTCGTAGAACTAAGACTGGCGAAAAACTTTAACAGCGTGTGTTCCAATAAAGGGTTGATTTTTTCAAGACATGTGGTTTTCAATGAGGCAATACTTTTTTCGGAGTTAGTCTTTTTTGACTACTTGGTTTTCCCTTTCTTAATGAACAGATTTACTCTGGAACAACGTTTGCAAGTCTTGGAAATTTATCAACAAAATAAAAGCTCGCTTCATTCAACACATGGCGCGCTGCGTCTAATATTCGGTCGATATAAAATCCACCAGCAGAGTCGGTAATGCGAGCAACCATAGATTAGTTTTACGTTACCTTTACTCTAGTGGATAATGCGTACCTTAGAGAGACCATACAGTGCCCATCGAAAACGCTGTTGCTGCTGTAGCGCCGAGTATCAATTAGGACCAAAATGAGTCCATCTACCGTTGGGGGTACAATTAAAGCTGTGTTCATGCACTGTATGCGAGATTTTGCGGAAAGATTTTGGTTTACGGATTTAATACAAAATCAAACTCGTTAGAGAAACGACCATTAAGCTGATGTTCTGAACTGTCTCCGCACATTTCAGCATTTGTTGCCCTCAACCACACCTAATTCAAAAGCATATGACGCTAATTGGCTTTGTCCCAGCTGCGCGGGTTCTAGCCTCTTTGTCTCTGCCTTTGTTTCTATGAATGGAAGTGACAAGTAAATATTTGCCTCCTGTTCAGCAGTACACCTTCTTTAGGCTGAAGAAGTCCTCAGTTGACGAAAAAAGGAACTTGTTGTTCCTTACACATACATAATTAAGAACATTAGAAGGCAAGGTGAGGTCATCTTATCCGGATAGAGGAAAACACTCCAGTTTTGAAAGTATTCTATGCAGTACCCATCAGTGGAAGCAGAGAAAGAGAAATACCTCCTCATTGTTAAAAATATCAGTTGTAGGGCAATCTAGTTTCATTTGGAGCTTCCAATAGGTGCCGATTGCCAAAAGGAATAGACGACTGACACGCTATTGTTGGCTCGGCTACAATCGCGTAAGCGTAAGCATAATAATAGAAACACCAACGAACGTAAACATACCTTCCGTGTCAACTCTCATAATGAAATATATGAAAGTTCAAGTTAAATGAAAACTCACCATCGTGAACGTGCGATGGCGGCCGTAGATAGACGTTACCGTGATCGATTTGAAGAATTTAAACTTCTCTCTCCGTTCTGCTGTTTTGTCTTTACTTTCTCATGCTGATATATGTGTTATCGTTGAAAACAGATAAATGGCAATATTGTGAGGTTGTACATAATCATAACATACCAAATATATACTATATTTTAAAAATATGAAAAGAAAATAAAACAAAATTTCTGCGTTGGAGCTACCTCAATAAGTTTTGCTCATTTAAGTGCAGCTAACGGTAATATGATATGGATCACGGATACTCTCGTCAGTAAAGAAGATGAAGAAGTTTCCAGAGTGCTTGCACATTTCATTTCTGAGTGGGTCTGCCCAATAAAGAAACTCTTGTTTCATATAAATAAATTTTTCCATTTCGATCTCTGATTGCACCGACACATGAGAAATAAAAGTGTTGTACACATCAGATGACAGATGCCACCTAAACGTTCAAATATTTCGACCCGCTGAATCAGAATTTTCATTCAGTTCTTACTTTAATGTCGAGTAAACTTCAAAAACCGTTAAAACAACAAAAAAACGAAAGTCTCGATACTAAAAGAAAAAATCTAAAGCAAGCATAATTTTCCCGTCTAATTTGTACTTAGACTTTAAGCCGCTTTTTATCAGATTTAATTATGACTATTTTGCATTTCTCTTAAATGTAGCTCATACGACATGGTGAACCTTTTAATTTCAATATAAATTTTTATCAAGAAAAAGTATATTTTGGTCTAAGTCCGAATTAGATTAGTATTTAACGGATTGAAAGACTTGAAAATTATGCTTGCTTTGGGTCTATTACTTCACGGGAAAAGATTGGGCTACCACTCTAATGATTTTACAGCTGTAAAGTTGAAGAAGAGTAGGAGTCTATGCACACTACCTCTATCACTGTCCCGATCATCAGTGAAAAAATGGAAATCTCGTTACTTTTATAAGACATACGAAGTGGCTCGAGCAATTGAGAAAATGAATACAGCAGTCCAGGTATTCCAATGGGTCTATTGACCCAAATGCGCTGGTAATGACTAGCAGCCGTTTCAACTCAACTCAAAACTTCTACTTTTGCTATTTCGACGGTTTTTGCCGTTCACTAAATATTGAGAGTTATGCTGCCAAAAATTAATGGATAAAAAAAACTTGTTCGTTGTTAAGTGACGTCTGGTATACAAACCACATTATTGTGTGCCGTTCCTATCTCTCAAGATATGCTGAGCTTGAACCACCTATCTATATTGTGTTTGAAAAGTTAAGTGCAGGAAAAACTCTGTTCTACATACATGTGTATTATATACATAAATACAGTATTTATATACAAGCAGATAATATTTTTTTACTCACCATAGTGTGATGCCACTCGACGATTTTTCGGCGAACTTGGGCATGTATACAAAAATGAACGCTGAGTATCTGCAAGAGACACATAAAATGATGAATTGACTGGGAAATGGACAACTTAGAGTGAAATGAATTCAATACCGAACCAATAACAGTGACCAAACGGCAAAAATATTTAAAAAAAATTTAAATGAGTACCGTAAAATAAAAAATAAATAAAAAAGAATTAAAAAAAAATTAAAAAATAAGGGTGAATAATGAGGAAGATTTTTAATGAAGCAAATAAAATAATAGAAAAATGCTCAATTAACAACGACGTTACAACAGCAAATATATATTTTATACAAGAGGCGGCTGAACCAAGGTAGTTAGACCTGACACATCATCTTGTTACTTATAACACTAATTGCGCGACTCATTATTAGTATAAATAAGACAACTTTTTATATTTCGTTTATGACCACTTCGTTCCTGGAACAAGTAACATCACTATGCCAACGGAAACTGAAAATTCTAAAAATTTGGGGCACCGCGCTGTGATGAAATTCGTTGTAAGAAAGAGATGCCATTGGTACTAGAAGACTCTGTCCCTACGACGACAGTGAGATGAAAGCGGCCGTGGAACTGATTTTGAAGAGAAATCTAAAGAATATTTTTTCAGTGATATAAAGGCATTATATTCACGATATGTAAAGTGTATTTCATTTAAAGGGACACATTTGTTACATATAAGTCCTTTAGGTCGCTAAAATATCAGCCGCCCCTCGTATGTAGTGGAGCATATACATATATTAAATATTAAATTTATTTGTTGCTTTTATTGTACTTACCATTTCTCTTGATACGATTATGATCTGGCGAACCGGAACACGAATAGCGCGATGTCATGTTATCGCGTCGATTTAGAGCTTCGGCACCCAATTTGACAAATGGACAACAGCGGAAGAAACGTTTGAAGCCATAACGAAATCTGTTCCGCGTGTAGCAAAGGAAGAAGAAGATGAAGAGAAAAGAAAGAACGTAAAATCTAAATTCAATAATATGTAAATGCATGTAAGAACTGTGCATGTAAGTGTGTGTGTGTGAGTATACAAATGGTGGCTGCTGTATGCAGGTAAGAAGAAAAAGAAAGATTTATGTCAAGCATCTATTGAGATTATGCTGTGCTACCTACATACATACATATGTATAAGCTTCAAGTGGCTGTGCAATCGTCACGCCAAATCATTGCCACAACAAAGTGCAAATCCGCGCGCAGCAGCAGCAATATGCTGTCACTTATGTATATCACGGTATATTGAAAATCGGTGGTTGTAACAGCGTTTAGTGCGTTGCAAACTGCAGCTGACAGCTCTGCCACAATTAATTCAAGTTGTTGGCCTGCGGCTGCTGTGCAATGCAGCGGAAGTACGAATTTCGCCACTAAATATAGAATGCACAAACGTGCAAACGTACAAATGTACAAGCTCGGTGAATCGACATTGCGCTTGAGTGGCTGTTATCCGAGAAGATTGACGTAGCGCGGAGGCAACGCGGTGCCTTTGAATGCGAGTACACATCCGTCAGTCAATCACTCTCTTCTTCTTGTTTGCATTTACTGTAAAACTCAATGTGTGGAAATAACAGCAACAGCGGCAGCAGCAGCAGCAGCAGCAGCAGCAACAGGCGATGTGATGTGCCTGCGTTGGGACGTGTTTGAATAAATTCCTTGGAAAATCGTAGCTGTAAATAAATGTCATTACGCAGGCACGCAAGGAATTTGCTGCAGTATTGACGGTTAGATCTACAAACAGATGTCTTTATGCACGTGTATTTACATTAAGGCGGTCCGTAACTCTTATTTAATATATTTTTGGGCTATAGAAAAATTCATTAGATTTTTTATTGACTCATCGATTTTGAGTGTTAGCCAGTTGTATTAATTAAAAGTACATAAAAAATTGGCTGATAATTGCTTCAGCGGATATAAAGCGCCAGTAATATTATATATATATATGAATAAAATTATATATGCATATTCAATGTGTGATCCAAGTAGAGATGCTTTTCCTATAGCCCCTTTTTGCAGATCACGCCTGAGTCGTGTAAAACTGTCGTAGCTGAGAGTGTACACGAAGACCGTGAAGACTCGATTTTAAGCCGTTCGCAACAACTTGGACTGACATGTGGGACGATTTGGCGCATTTTACGTCGAGATCTTAATTAGAAAGCGTACAAAATACAGCGTGTGCACTCGACACTCGACTTCCCAAGCGACATAGCGAGGTTGTTCAGTGATGAGGACCATTTAAGGCTCAATTTTGTATGCAAGCAAGCAAAATTTCCCATTTGGGACAAAGAGCAAACTGAAGAGACTCAAGAGCTGCCAATTCAATTAGAAAAATCAACGGTTTGTTATGGTTTTTTGGCTGATAGAAACATTGGTCCATATTTACTCAAAAATATTGTCGGTCAGAACGTAACTGTCAATGACGACCGTTACTGCGCCACCGACTATTTGATATCTAAAATTGAACTTCCTTTTTTCTGTGCAGATATATAAAGTCTAAAGTCTATGCGAAAAATTCCGTTTCAGTTCACGCTTTGTTCGAACGAGTAATCGAAAATTGCATAATGTCTAAAAACTAGTGCCGAAGAGTGTTTATTGGAATGATAATAAATATTAGCCACTAAATTTTAATTGCAAAGTAAAAAAATAAAATAATCTAAAGATTCATTTGGAATGTTTTCCCATATATTTTGTTTCCTTTTTTATTATAAATATTGAACCTTGGCTTTATATTAAATGAAATATTACATCATTCAAGTTACCGCCGAATTTTCGCAAATTTTGCTCTGCTTGAGGTAATTTTCGACCGCTGTTTGGCACATATTAGGTGGTTTCTCAGCCATAACTTGACGAATGTTGGATTTCACGTACTCAAGAGTTATAGGGCTTATCCGCATAAACACGGCTTTCTGCCGTAGTCACGCAACCCTTGTGGCCAATTTACATAGCCAAGGTGAAAGATTAAGCGCTCTGGAAATTTCTCTTGCAATTAAGTCAGAATCGATCGGACCATAACGCTCCGAATTGACCCTGAAGCTCAGCCGAAGAAATCATGATTTTTTCTTAGACAATTTTGGGATAACTTTATTGTATCTAAGCATACATAAGTATAATGAAATGAATTTTTTTTTTAAATTCCAAAACACTGGAATGCAGTGCACTCACCGCTAAACCACCTTACATTTCGAACAATTTATATTTAAATGGATTTTTGTAAATGTGTGCAGGAAATTTTGCTCTGAGGTAATGAAATAAAATTTTTTTGTTTTGTTCTGTTTTTTTTTTTTTTTTTGCATTTCGACATCCTGCTGATGATGAATTAAATTTAATAAGCCCAGTACTACGAGCATTGCTTCCCTACAGTAAAAATACCTAGTTGTGTAGTAGATTCCTACTAGTTTGCATTTTTACACCAGCTGGTTAGTTTGTCATCATCCATCATTTTCCTGCGCAAACGACGAAGGATTACACCGACTGACACGATTCTCATTGTATGAAGAATTTAATACTTTAACTATTTTTTTAAATTATTATTAATACTAATTTTGTTTGATAACGCATCAATTGCAAACTAGTTAAATACCAGTTCATTAAGGCATGTTAAATTTATTATAAGCAAAAATAAAAACTACGAATTTTCCTAACAGCGAGATACGAACTGCGAATATCATGACCGACAGCGAAAATAACTGCTTTTTATTGCGTCTATACGAAAAGTAACGAAAAAATACCCAATACAACAAATCATATCAGAAAATAAACTACACCCGTGGTGAACTAAAAATGAATTCAACATAGTAGTGGCGAGGCAATACCCAGAGTACACTAAATTCTTAGATGGAACACTTCTCCAACCTGCTGAATAGTAGTAAAAGTGGAAAATCTAGAGATATCGAAGCCGATTCTCCAACGATGGCAATGGAACAGATGCTTGATTGCTCGACTGTGAAGAAGTTCGAAAAGCAATCCCCTACTTCAAAACTAACAAAGCGGCGGTTTCCGAAGGATTGCCGGTCGTGTTATTAAAATACGGCGGTCAGAAATTGATCAGACGTATGCATCAGCTTCTTTGCAAAATGTGGTCGGATAAAAGCTGGCCTGATGATTGGAACCTAAGTGTGCTCTGCCCAATCTACAAAAAGGAAGACCATACAATTTGCGCTAATTGCTGTGGGATAACTCACTCACTCACTCATCAATACGCATAGGGTCCTATCAAGCGCAGCGTGTGTAAGATTAGAGCTTAAAACCCTTTTGTTAATGTTGTTGTTGTAGCGGCTCGCTAACCCCGCTTAGGCACTCGTCATTAATCATATACCCATCATACGCCATTGAAAAGACCAGTCGAAAGAGGTCTTCGCCAGCACGAAAAGGGTATGTCTTAACATCGCAGCAAAAGCGCCGTCAGGATCAGCAAGTACCTCTCCGAACCGTTTTAAGCCAAACGAGGTTTCAGACAAGGAGAATTTGTATCGTGAATAGAGAGAAACAATCGACTAAATAGCGTACAGATCCTGGCGTACGCTCATGATATTGACAACAACCAAACTCTACAAGTCGCTTATCCTACCCGTCCTACTAAATGGTGCGGAAGCATGGACAAGATCAATATCTAATGACGTGACGTCGGGAGTTTTCGAAACAAAAGCTTTGCGTAATTAGGAACGGTGAGAGCTGCAGCCGAAGGAACCAGAAGCCGTTCAAGATATATAACAACATAGACTTACATAGTTTGCAAATGAAAAGACAATGGTTACGCTGTCTAGGTCATGTGAACCGGATGGATGAAATACTCCAACTTTGAATAATAGGATGAAGAGGATCTCCACTTCGCTGGAAAGAGCAGGTGGCGAAGGATTTGTATGCAATTAGTGTCTCCTACTGGCTAAAAGATGGATGAATAGCACGCAGTTGTTAACACGACTATAAGCCCGTAAGCGGACTCTACGACAGTAAAGAAGAAGAAGAAGTGGTGGCGAGATATTGCAAATTTTCATTACGCTCGCTACCGGTGAACGAATCGCTAACCGTAATTTTTGGCATTTTTAAAGTACTGGTTTATAACTAGGTCTTCTACATACCACTTAAAGTTTCCTCTGCTGGGTTCATAAGTACGAATTTATAACTAGTAGCTGTTATTTGCTTATTTTTGAAACTACTTCAATCAAAACTTAGCCACAAAAACTTTTCAGGCACTCGCATGTATTTGCTATGCAACATTTCGTTATGTGTGCCACGCCCATAGTTTAAGTGTTTTTATTGTAAAAGTTTGAGCGTGTTTACTTCTACCAATTCAACTTCGTTATTTGAGTGGTATTTAAACTTAAGGTAATAAACGGAGGCAATATAAATTTTGTAGACAGCATTATTTAACTCGAATTACATAAATACGAAAAGTTATTCGAAGCACCGGCACCGTAGCAACGATTTTCTTAGCAATTTGATTCATTTCATTTGTGGAGGGAGGCTTTTGACATTTATATGAAGGCAATAACTCAACTCATCGGTCCATTAGTTCAGCCGAATCAGTGAGCTATTTTTGATATAAGTGCTTGAATGGATGAAAGATTCGGTTGTGATGATGATTGTACTGTTAAACATTTTACTTGTCATACGAACTTTTTGAAGATTTTTGTTTATGCAAGTCGAGCAGATAACCGTACGGCTGTTTGTTTTTTAGTACCAAGAGGCGGATAATACGCACGTTCTTGCGAAAAGATTGTGATCCGATAGTGATGTCCGAAGATAACTTCTTTCTTTACCCTTGACCTAGAGGTGGCATCCACAATTATCACGTCGTGGCGAGGCGGCGCTAATAGGCGCATTCTCGGCGCACATAGAAAGCGTTCTTGGTCACATCGTCTTTTTCTTCCGCCGGGGCGTGGGCACAAATAAGCGACAGCGTTTGGCGGCCGCGGTAGTCGAGTGGTTAGCATTGCGTACTGCCATTCGGAAGGGTTTGGTTCAAATCCTGGTGTCGGACTAATATCCAAAAGTTTATAGAAAATTAATTTAAATAAAAAATTAAGCTAAATTTTTAATTGCAGTCACTCCTCGGCAGGAAATGTCAACCCCTCCGAGTGTATTTCTGACGTGAAAAGAAGGATCTTCACAAAAAAAAAAAAAAAAAAAAAACCATCAGCCGTTTAGTATAAACAGAAGGTCTCTCCATTAGTTGGAAAAACGTCAAGACGCAATACCACAAATAGGAGGAGCAGCTCGGCCGAAAATCGCATCAGTGGTTACAATGCGCCAATTATATATATATATATATTGTGGCTAGAAGGTTTTCCACCGGAGTGAATACCAATAGTCGGCAACGGAGTTTCTCTTCCACTACGAATCCAACACCAAATTTGCGTCGCCCATCGCACTTTTTGGACGGCTCAAATGTCAGCATTTAGTCTTACGAGCACATTAACCAGCTAGGCAGCGGCACCTTCCAAATTTACGGACCGAACATTCCAGGTGCATGCCGTCCGTGAGTTTCAAGACCTTTGCGGAGGTCATCATCTGAAGCATCAGTTTCTTTTTCAAGTGGTGGGTTCTAAAACCTGAGTACAACTGCATGAGATTCGTCTTCTCACTTTCGCACGCCATTAAATGGAGATTTGTTGGCTACCCGGAGAATATTTGGTCTAAGACCGAGATTCCCTTGCAACTTCAATATGCAAAATAATCATTTCATTCCCACTTCCACGCGAATGGCAGTTGAAAACTTTTTTCACTAGAGTGAACTTCTACACATGGCCCTATCCTTCTGTATGCCATGGCACTCTCATTAAAAATTTATATTTGTTTTGTTTCAATCACATCCAATTTTGCTAGCGACATCCACATATTCGTTCCTGACTTTACACACTTCGTAAAAATGCTCGGAAAGCGTTTTAACAACCTCCACTGTTTCTGTTGGGTATCAGAGGTATCTCAAGAAAGGGACCCAGGGACACTGCTCTTGTTGACACAAAATGTTTAAACGATTTAACATTTGATAAGGCCTTTGAGGGAAAACTTAATGATCAAGAAGAACTCGATAAACTTTTTCTAAATATGGATTTTTAAGTTGTTCAGAAAAAATATAGTTTGATTTCACAATAAAAGCTGATTGTGATTTTTTTTACATTTTAAGTAATTTTGAACTATTTGCAGCCAGAGGTAATAATATCGGCGCCATTTGTAAGGAGCCTTCCTGACATCCAGCCGGCTCTGGAACAAATGGTGGTCTTTCTGTGGCAGCGCCCCGTGCCACTGTGATGGACTGTATATTTCCTCGCAAATTACTTGGATCACTGAGTTTCCGTCGGACATGTAATGGGCATAAATAAATAGAAATATAAATAAATAACAAGAAACAACAAAAAAAAAACCTTAAAGGGATTGTTGTCATCGATGGTTCGACGGTAAGCTCTTTAGGAGAATAATAGGTTTTAGCTAGCCCTGGAAAGGAATTTGAGGTATTGGCCAACATAAAAGCGGGGGAACCGAAAAAAGTCCAATCGGGGTGTTGAAGTAGATTCGTCATCCCATGAGTGACAGTGCCTAGAATAGACGAGAGCCACAGTAAGGACCTGTAGGGAGTAGCTCAAAGGCAAGTACCTCACTGCAGTCGATTCCAAATACCGTAACGCTATCGAGTATAAGCACCCAAAAGTCTCAATCAAAAAGCAGCGCCCGAGTTTGTCGGAAAAGAGACCGGGAAAGTCGCAGAGAGGCTCCACTACACGAACAACCTTACTGAGAAGTTTACGAGGCGTGATTAGGAAGACCATTTTTACATCAAGGGTAGCCAATTCGGCTGGCTGGAGCCAGGTAACCAACACTATCAGAAAGGCTCAGCTAATTGAGAAACAGCACCAGTCCCATAAGCAGATGACCACTGAAGTTGGAAATCCGGTTTATTATTTGATGGATAGAAGAGCTTCATTACCTCGTTCACATGAAACATATATTAAAGAATCTAAATTATTAATCGGATGAATTGGGTAAGCATCCTGGAAACGTGAACAATCTTTCATGTCTAAAAGAGAAAAAGCTTCAGTTTATTTAAATGTTCGCTTATATTTGTACACCATAAGTACGCCTACGAACTGACTTTCACTCACAGAGGTTTTGCGTGGAGCTTTTGATCTGTCGATTCATAAAATAAATCAAATGAAAAGAAAAAAAGTCTTTTGATGATCATTTTTAAACTTGATGACAACGCCAAAAATTCTTTCTAAGCATGAAAATTTGCAAATACGCACCTAGAACGTTTAGACTCTTAACTGGTAAGGTGCCGTAGCCCAGCTGATTGATGTTTTCGGATAAATTAACGAAGGCCTCTCCGTCGTTGAGAAGACGCTATATGCACGGGATAAGAACGAAACCGGCTCTGCTCTTGTGATATTTATTGCAGAAGCCACAAAAAGGAGCGAATATTTGCTCTAAGATTGAGTATTTGCCATAAATTATCCATTGTCTCTCCTATGATTTGCGCAACAGTTGGAAAACACAGACAATGAAGTGAAACACCCAGATTGTTAAGCTTGAAATATGACTATTTTTGTTACTGGAAGCTAAAAAAAATCCATTACACCTCACCTCTTATGCTAGAAAACGTAAACGTTCCAAGATCAACTGTGGCTTCGTACATAAATATTTTAGTTTTTTAGTAGAAAAGAGACCATGATTGCTTTGAAATTAGCTGCCGTTGAGAGAACACATTGGGTGCAGTTGCGTATGATGATGTTTATCAGTGACTTGAATAATTTAAGTAGTTAAAATCAATTTAATAAACTTACTTTGAGAACCCAAAATGAAAGTTTAAAGATATTCCTGGTGTGAAATCTCTTAAAAGAAAATGTTATTTTCGTTGTGACAGGGAATATGAAAATAATTAGCATCATGTTTTAATGCCTCTCTTAAATCTACTACATTCCATTAACTAGATGACAACTCTTTGGGTTTGAGAAAACTCAAATGAAACACCTACACCACCGTATATTAACAAGCAATGCTTTCAGTGCCAAATTGAGTGTGTGCACATTACCCATTGTGGTCATAATGTGCATGCTCATCCCGCCAGCAATAAAATGGTCATAATATTGCGGTTGTACAGACTTGATTCCATTGCAAGTTGACGTGAGTAATATGGACATATGGTTGGATTGACAAAATGTAAACTACAAGTGGGTTAGTGTGATTTTAAAATTCAACAAGCTGCATATAAGTTATATCTATATATATTTAGAGAATTAATATGTAAAATATGTGTGTGTAAATATATGTGTAAACATGATGCATGAACATATACAATCAAGGACATTAATTTTGTCATGTGAAATAATCCCGCAATTACTTCGGGCCTTCAGCATGAAAAGGGATTTTGTGATGGCCTTCAAAGTTGTTATTCAATCAATAATAGAATATGCCTAGGTGAGATTGCGCAAAAAGGGTTGAATTTGAATATAATTTTTATGAAGTCCACTTCATCAGCTAAGAAACAGGACTTACGGGCATAGTTGTATAGCGAATAGACTGTGTCCTCACGCGCCTGACTTCTAACAGCTACAATTCTAATAAAATAAATTTTATATTTTACTTTATATTCTTTCTTCATTAAATCATTATTTTTCTGCTGGATTTATATATTTAATATAATTCAATAAAATAATTTTTAAATGGTCCACTAAGGGTGTAGTTAAGTAATTACCCGCTTCTACTGGAAAATTCACTCAACGCATTAAAATTAAAATGTACATTCAACTCTTTTATTTAAAACTGATATATTCACTTACGTTCATATGTACGTGTATGTATGTATACCTACCTCGAGTTCATCCAACAATAAATAATTGGATTATACATGGAGTTACTCATGGCCAGCCAATAGATGCCCAAATAGACTTCCTGAATGAAAGGCGTCTCTGTTAATGCTGGATAGCAGGCTGTGATAATGAAGTATGCGTGAAATGGTAGCCAACAAATGGCAAATATCAACACAACAACAATCATCATTTTAACGACCTGCAAGTATAAGTATATACATATATATGTGTGAGTAAATGGTAAGATTAGCATTATATATACATTACATATATACATGATTTATAAAACTAATAATAATTTTAAAAACTCACTACTACTAACGAGCACACAGCAAGCGACTAGCTCTAGTTGGTTAATATTGAGCGTTTACTAAAAAAAACTAACATCGGGCATCACTTTACTTAGTAGTGTTTGCGAGGTTGTGAGAGATGGACACCAGCATAGAGAAAATACGCAATATTCTGCAAAACTTTTCTCGAGAAGAGCCAATAAGTAATGGACATCGTTTGGTCTGAATATCATATGAGTGCTGGTAGAATGTCCAAAACGTAGTTTGGTAACGTTTAAAAGAGCCTGGTTACACTAAGAAGTTCGATGTTGAGTGCGACAAGAGTCAACGAAAAAAAACCTGATGAATCGAATTTTCATACATAAATGGAAGCTGAATCGTAAAAAAATTAAATAAATAATTTCGGAATCAGATGATGGCTGGTGATTAAATATGGATCACTTACAGCAACATCGAACGAAAGTGGTCGCACAAACGTTCGCCAAGCCAGGTTTGACGGCCTGAAAGGTTTTGTTCTGTGTTTGGTGTGATTGGCAAGATATTATTCAAGTGAGCTACCTTCCTGAAGGGGGAAAGCGCCCCAAAACAGCAGGGATTTGTATTTTATCAAGAAAACGTTGGACCACACTCATCGATGGTGACTCGCCAGAGGCCAGAACGCATCCATGATATAGTCCGTGCTTCGCACCATAATTTTTTAATTTTCCTTTCACAACAGCGAATACTACATCGAAAACTTTCGAAACTGGAACGTCTGGCCAATATGCTCAGTTGGCCTTAAGGGGTTACATAGGTCTTGAAACTTCAAAATCTCCATTTCTTTGACAATTTTTTGTACAAAGTGTCAGGAATATTTTCCCCAAGCTTCAAGTCGATCGAGACGAAACTGTAGAAATTAGTGAGTTTTATAGCCCGCCGTCTTTGACATGGCTTGACCGATGACTTTAAACGCTTTAAGCGCTCTTTTCTTCAAACCACTTTGAAATCGGTAGTCAAAAATTCTCAACGGTTATTGAAGCGACACTTCTTTTAAGCATGTTTTTGTAATCCCTGAACGAAAGATTAATTTTATTATATCTCTAATCTTTGTATAAAGAATTACGTTTTTTGTAAAAAAAAACGCTACAAAAAATTCAATTTATAACTTTATTTTAATTTTCTTCGTTCAGGAGCAAGGAAATTTCAACGACTTTAGGTAAAAATTTGGACAGGAAAAATGGTTTTATTGGTAAAATAGTCTCCTTCTGCTTTAATACAGCTTTTTGCATGGTCCAAAAGCATGTCGAACGAGTGTTTTAGCCGTTGCCCGGTATGATCGAGATGCCGGTGCAAGCCTTTTGAACGGCCTCCACGTCTGCGTAACGCTTTCCTCTCATCGGCAAATGCATTTTTCCGGAAAGGTAGAAGACGCACGGTGCCATATCAGGTAAATACGGGGAGTGGTTGATTGTTAAAATGTAATTTTTGGTCAAATAATCGGTCACAGGCGTCGATCGATGAGACGGCGCATTATCGTTCAACAAACGCCAACTTCCATATTCGCGATATTCGGGCTGTATACATCGAATACGGCGCACCCATCGCTTCAAAACTACAAGGTCAAATACCACATTAACGTTGTGGTCGGGTGGAACAATTTCTTTGTGGACAATACCCTTGGAATCTTAAAAACAACACGACTTTACTTTTGACTTCTCCAGGCGCGATTTCTTGGGTTTCGGCTCGTCCGGCGCCTTTCGTTCTGCACTCTGGCGTTTCGTATCGGGGCCACATTGAAAACACCAGGTTTCGTCACCAGTCACAATCTTGTAAATGAAGTTCGGGTTTTTTTTTGCCTCTTTAGTGATGTCCTTCGAATGTTGAATCTGAGCACTTTTTGTTCGAAGCTCATTTTCGCACCGATTTTACTTCCAATAAATGAAATGTCATGAAATTTTTTCTGGAAGTCGATAAAGAATAGAAAATTCTAACGAAATAGTCGACATATAGATGGCGCCACTATAGGGCGCCAAATTCAAGAGGTCCTGTTTACTTTGGAACGCACATACTACGATGTGTTTTGAGTGCTCAAGAAGGCAGTTGATTTAGTCGATGTGTGAAATCTCGCATTATCGTCGAGAAAAGTTATGCGCCTTCTGCGCTACGGTGGTAGGCTTTCCTGATTTCTTAAAAGACTGCTGACAAGGAAATGGTGGTTTAACACTCAGAATTTGCGGCTTGGCATTGTTCTAGTGGTGGTGTAGCGACATGTCCGATATTTTTTTTTTTGGCCGCGATGAATATTTAAATGTTATTGTAAACAACACAAATAGCATTCGTATGTAAAATGTTCAGAGTATGTATAACAACAAAAATGTCAAACTTTACGATGAAGTTGTCAGTTGTCAGTTTGTAACACTAGAACTGGATAAATAAAAATTATTTGCAAAATTTTGAACAGAATTTGTCTTTACTGGAAATTAATTTTATGGAAGTGCATATGGCAATTTCTCGGCCAACTTTTTACTATCAAAAGAGTTTTGTAGGGGCTGGAACGAAGCGTAATCAGATGGCGCACAGTCAGGGCAATAGGGTGGCTGCATCAAACTTTCTAAACAAATTTTCGTAGTTTTTGGCTGGTCATCAAAAGTGTATTTTGTCTGGTGTTGGCATAATAAGACAAAAGTCCGTTTCTATTGATCAATTCTAGACGGAATTTTTGACGAACTTGTTGTAAGCTGGTAAGTTATTGACATAGTCCCCTTGCAATCCCACCATACTTTCTGCTTCGCCTGGTTTATTCTCAATTCAGGCTTTGAAGTCTTTTGTTGACAGTCACCAACTTTTATCATAATTTTCTTCATTTTATCTTCTCGAATTTAGTACATTTTTCAACGCTAAAAACACTTCGGAAATGTATTTTTTTCCCACTCCAGAAGTGGCATAGCAGTCAATCAAGTTTTTTTTGGGTTAATTCTTATGGTACTCAAACTTCGAGCTTCTTTGAGCAACCAGCCTCTTTTAAATTCTTTCAAACTCTCATGTCGATGATGCCTGTTTTGTTCTGTTATTTCCTGAGAGTTTGCCGTTCGGTCTTGCTCTAATTTACCGATCGACATCGAGCAAGCCAATCCTTGATCCGTGGTTAACTTATAGCATTCTCGCCGTAAATCGCACACAATTTTCGCAGAGCTCAAACGTATTTCTTTGAAAATTCCACTTACTTTCAGATGGAAATAATCTTTCGCACAAAGGACAATCCAACAGCATTCAAACATGTATTGTGCGCAACATAATCGGATTAATATTGACCGAACTATAAGTACCACCAGCATATGGAAACAAAAAACCGCGGAGAGTTTAATTTTAATTTCACTTTCTCAGTGGGCGCTATAGTTTACAGAGTAGCGGGCAGACCAGCGTCTTAAGTTATGCAAAAATAATATACTCAGTTCAAAATTCAACGCAGTATGGTGCTGACTGTACTATACGATGTAGTGCTGGTCTCGAGGTCATATATATGGTTTTGTGTGCTGCAGACCTTATGGAGAATCAGTATGAGAGCCCAAATCTGTGTTATATTCTCTCTTTTGCGTCTACTCTTAGGTTAAAGTTTGCGAGCGCTATTAATCAAATTTTAATTAAATACAATAATTTCTCCCATTCCACTTACCCTTCGCTTACTCTTCACATTCTCCACCTGCCGTGGTGTGTATTCGCCAATTGCTTTTGAGCCCCAAAGTTCAATGCCGACACGTGAGTAAGTGACTGTCATCGAAATGATGGGCAGTATGTACGTGAGTATCATAAAAACGATATTATAACTGCAAAAGAGAGAAAAGATTAAAAAGCAAAACGAAAAGAATAAGCATAAAGCGTCAAGCAAACAACCAATCATACTAAAATACAACAAATAAATATAAGTAAACTTATGTAGAATAAATATATCAACGGCTTCGTATAATTTTTTGGGCATCTCAAGCTGAATGCACAAATAACTGTATATTTATCATAAACGTCAAACTTATTGCTTTGGGATTTGCGATTTGTCTTCAATATAAAGCTAAGTAAACGACTTATGCAAAATATAATTGCTTCAGCGATTGGAAAAAATACCTAGAAACGCTTCACTTTTCATTCTTATGAGATTTTTTTAATCTTCTTTTTTGATTTTTTTTTAATGAGCAGAGTCTTGCAATACACAAAATAACTGAAGAAAATACAAAAAGTAAAAATGGAAATAAATAACTTCATGTTTTACAATGGCTTACAGAGATCAAAGTGGCGCATGGTAAGGGTCAAGCAATATTGTACTTTGAAGAAGAGAGAATGTCATTACATTTTTATTGCAAGGTTTCCATTTCGGTTTACATTGTTTTTAAATTGCTAAGATTTGTGCTATTGTTATCCATGAGATAATTGCCGAGTTTGTATAAAGGACTGAAAAATTGTCACTTTGTATTGTTGCTGCTCTAATTGGACATAAACGGGACCATTTGGAGGGATATATGTATATGAGGAGGCTGATCATAAAGGGTTAACATTTTTGTCTATTATTAATGGGGGAATGGTTAAGTATTACGAAAAATGTCATAAAAGAGAGTGACACTGTTTCCAAAGGGTGAATTTTTAGTTATTATCTTTTTGGCAACACTGGCTTAAACAGCTGACGCACGTTTCGTAATTTGTATCACTGTCATCTTCAGTTTGATCTATAATTTAACCATGAATCGTCTTACAAATGAACAACACTTGCATATTATTGAATTTTATTATCAAAAGGCGTGCTCTGTTAAGAAAGTTCATTGCGTCCTTCTTCTGCAACCGCTTCGGAGCACATTTTCGGCTTAATGGGTGCGTAAATAAGCAAAATTGTCGAATTTTGAGTGAAGATCAGCTAGAAGCATTGCAAGATCTACCAATGCATCCAGAAAAAGTCACAGTTTGGTGCGGTTTATGGGCTGGTGGTATCATGGGACCGTACTTCTTCAAAGATGATGCGAATCGTAACGTAACTGTGAATAGTGAGTGCTACCGTAAGATGATATCAAACTTTTTCTTGCCCGAAATGCAAGAGCTTGACTTGCGTGACATGTAGTTTCAATAAGGCGGTGCCACATGCCACACAGCACGCGTAACAAGGGACTTATTGAGAAGCGAGTTCGGTGAAGATTTTAATTCACGTTCCGGACCGGTCAATTGGCATCCTATCGGAGAGATATCGGCCTAATGTTGGAAAAAGTGTGCCAAATTGGACTGACCGGATTTAACTATATGAACCGTACCATCGATTCTAATAAAGACTTCTTGCATGTTTATGCATTTTATGTGTTTTTTTTTTTAACTATCCTATAGCTCTTAAAAATTCACCCTTTATATCGGGTTTCTCAGGTACACCTCTCTAGGCGGAACTGGTGTTTTTTTTTTTTTTGCAAGTTACAGCTAACATCATCATCATCAATGAGATGGGTTAAATAGGACAGGAACAGCAGATAGAAATCTAAGAGATTGCTCTTCCCAGCGGAGGATGAGCTTTTAACTGTCACAACAAGACTTTTTTATACACTTTTCATCAACAAACTTCGGGAAGCGGTTGAGGTTCACTTGTAGCCTTCAGATTAGTCTTTACTGATATCAGAGAGAGCTGGCACCAAACCAGCTAAATTGATCGGATTACCGCTGTCCAGAGAAATATGAACGTACAAAGAAAGCTCGAGACCAAAAAGTTTGAATTACAACAGAGACAGTTACTAATAATGGCTTAATATGTGCAGAACTTTGACCGCTGGAAGTGCAACCGAATTTTATTTGCTTGAAATTGGAAACATCGAAAGCTCTTCGCGTAGAAAGCTCCTTGCATAGAAAGCTCTTTGCCTAGACTAATATGTGAAAAAGAAGTAGATAACTTAGAAATCTAATTATAATCACTTTAGTGTCATTTTAAAATTTCTTGCTTATGAATTTGTCCACGACAATTCTAGCATACCATAAAAGGGTATGTAGAGCTTGAGTAAAGGGCTGAATGGAACAAAAATGCTCAAATTCCCCGTAAAGATGTGGCGTGGTGAGAGAAGCACTCTGAGTACACGGAGTGCAGATGGGCCATATTTAGAGGTTCCCAAAAATGAGAAAAGATTTTGACTGTCATTAAACCGGGAATGGCCAGTACTGATTCTTTCACACATGGTTAAAGCAACAACTTCCGGTACTAGACCAAATGTTCTCTAACAAATATTTGGAGGCGAGCTTTAGTCAGAGCTTGTGGAATCCACGAGATAAAAAATTTACTCCAATGAAAAACCAACTACAGCATAGGATGAATGATTGCTCTTTTGATGAAAAAACCGGTGAGAGAAAAATCGATACACATCCACTTTTCATCAATTCTGAGGCTACCTTCGATTGGTAAGGAGCTGCCACTACGACGATACTCCTCTTTCTGTAAAACTACAGTATGTAACTGACGCTGGACAACACCAGAGGCGCAGTCTGAGCCATTCGATGCCAAACGAGGTTTCAGACAGGGTGACTCTTTATCAGTCATAAATAAGTGAACGTAAATAACGTCAGCCTTGGAATCCAATGCAGAATCACTCTCTCCAACAGGTGCTACTTTGGACTGAGTGGACAATTATAGAAAAAGTAAAGTTCTCTCTTGACGGACAAAACTTGAGCTATACAAGAAAAATTTTGCGAACGATTGATGATCATTTGCGTACACCGCAGACGGTAAAGGAATGAGCTGTACAAGTACAGCGAATGAAGAGACAGCGGCTACGCTGGCTGGATCAAGTTGTTCGAAGGGATAAAAGCACTCTAGCTTTGAAAGTATTCGAAGCAGTACCCGCCGATGGAAGCAGAGGAAGAGAAACACCTCTACTCCGTTGGAAGGATTAGGTGGAGAGTAATCTGGTTTCATTTGGTATTTTCAACTTGCGTCAAACAGCGAAGGGAAGGAAGGAATAAAGAAGAAGAAGAAGAAAAATAAAAATTACAATAAAAATGAAGAGTGGGATGAAACGCTACCTATTCCATAAAGAGAAGTGCACTCAGTCGACACCAGAAAACAGAGCCTGGAATCTGATCTGAGTAATTAATTTAACGAACTTCATTTCAACGCAAAGCTCAACAATTTTTATATTATATTATACTACATCACTAGTAGGCTGAACATTTCAAGTAATCAATGCTGCGATTTTGCATTGATTTTCTCATTCAACTCAATCTACGAATGCTGCTGCAGCAACTGTCAGACGAATTCCCAAATTCTCCTTGCAATATTGCGATTTTCCTTCGCGATATTTTCATTTCAGTTTTCTTTTATCACAATAAATAAAAATATATTCAACATTCTTTGAAAGGCTTATAACTATAACAAATGTACATACATACATTCATACATCAAACACTTACACATATTCCTGTTCTGAATGATTCGTTGGACCGTCCGGCCATTCTGTGTAGCACACAATACGTGTGCCATCCTTCACCTCCAGTTCGCCCGTGGTGAAGAAGAGTAGCATGGGGCATGATATGGTAACAGAGACAGCCCAAATGAATGCAGCAATACCGAGATTGCAGCGTTTGCTCATACGCGGTTCCAGCGGTTTCATAATGGCAATATATCTGGGAAGAAAAAGAGATGAAGAGTGCAGGAGAGAGAATTTGAGTTGGTGTGAAATATGAAAATCTCAAATAAATTTTAATTTATACGTGAGTGGATGGATGTGAGGATTTCTGCTGGCAGACGAAGCTGCCAATATCAAATACCTTTACGGCCATTCCATATTAAACTCAATAAGCGATCATTTTTGAACAGGCTAAAATATTAATATGAAACATTTTTAACTGACTTAGGGAAATTTGGTTGGACTAAATAGAGGGTTTTCCAAAAAGAGGTGTTGCTTAGATATTTAAAAAAAATGACATTTTTTGAGATCGCAAAGTGGCTGCTGTATGCCTTCAATAGCTACACGAATTCCATATCTGAGGTCTCGCATCGAAGTTGACCTGTTGGTGTAGAGATTATCTTTCACGTGGCCTTAAAGTAAGAAGTAAGAAGTCACAGAGTGTTAAATCCCCCAAGATCTCGGTGATGGTGAACAGCGACCCTCTTTGATTGATAACACGGCCTTTCCCTTAAAGGATCGATTGTTTCGTTGCATGTGTGGCTCGCTTGTTGAAAGTAAACGCTGTCAAAATAAACACCATCCAATTCCAGCCTCTTTTTACAAATTACGGCGTAATGATGTTTGCGGAATGGATTGGGATTGGGATTGGGATTGGGATTGGGATTTCTTCAACAATTCGGGCTACACCTCAGTTGTTCTCAAGCGACGTCACGTGTTTTAGTCTTCAAATCACAAACTTGTCCCAACAGTTCCATTTCTTTCATCATTTTCTGTATTGTGGTCCGACAAGATGCTTCACGACGACCGAAAAATATTTTTGTTTTACGAACCTTCCCTGTCGGGTTTTCAGCACTTATATATACATAGATTTCTATATATATATTTGGTGCTTTGTAAACGCTGAAGCGATTTTCGGCCAAGTTCCTCCTCCAATTTTTGGGTTTGCGTCTTGATGTTTTTCCAACAAATGGAGGCATCTACAGCTTATGTATACTAAGCCGCCTCCGAACAGCTGATGGTTTTTATGAGTGAGAATTTTAATAATTGCGTTGGTGAAGCGTGTATCGTTCAATTTTTATTACTGTTGAAGTTTCTACTTTACGAATGTCAAAAAATTACAGCCTTACAAGTGATTTTTACCGGAATATCAGGCTAATAATTATAACACCTCTTATTGGAAAACTCTTTAAACGACAAATAGATTCAGCAATATATTTTTGCAAGTTATTTGCTTAAAATATATGTTTAATATTACCAAAAATTTTGACCAAACAATATTTAACGAAAAAAGAAAGAAAATTACCATTAAAATTACTATTTGCCTGAGATAGAGCGATGTCGACTTTTTCGAAGTCAAGTAAACATTAGCCGAGTTATTAGTTATTTAATGGTTTTTTTCACTCCCATTACTTCTAGGGAAAATAATTTAACATATTCTCAGTTCTGTTTTTAACAGTTTTAGCATGAAATTTAAACCGTTGCTGAGTTTCCGCCAAAGCAAGGATCATCGCATATAAAACCACGAAATGTACAATGTACAATATACTCGTATGCAACATAAATATGTTTTACTATTAAATGAAATGTTTGCAATTTACCGTTATTTATATAAATAATATATTACACACTCTGGTACTCACAACCACTCGCTGTGGTTTTATTAACTCACCTGTCGATAGATATCGCCATTAGTGTAAACACCGAAGCACTTATGCTCAACGTCGCTATAAATTGCGATATTTTACAGTAGAGCTCACCGAAAGGCCAATCGTTGTCCAGCATGTAAATATAACTAAATGTGACATTGAGACTGGAGACCATGGCGTCCGCTATCGAGAGATTCACTGTAAGAGATTAAGCGGAAGAGATGGTGAGGCAATTGTGAGAGTAACGGGATATTGAATTAAATTGCTCGACTTCAAAGTGGTTACTTGAAGTAAAAGGAATTTTCGAGTAATCAATTAGAAAGCATAACTTAGTATTTCGTGTGAGTGCACTTAAAGGATACAGGATAAGTATTGATGCGATTACAATATGTGTATTGATACAAACATTGATATCTATAATTTAATAAATATTCAAAGCTGAATAAAATAAATATAAAAAAATACTATTTCTCCTCTTTTACTGGTATAAACACCACTTACGCAATCATTTCTTCTCTTTGGTGTTTGACGCCAATTGGAAATACCAAGTTCAGCCGGATTCTTCTTTATCTGGTCTTTACAAAAGAGTGATGTCATTCCTCTTTCTCTGCTTCTACTGGCGGGTACTGCTTCGAAAACTTTCAAAGTTCTTATCCGTCCGAACCACATGGTATAGCTAGCATAGTCCCTGTCTTTTGATTCGCTGAACTATGTTACGTAAAACTTGTATCCCGAAAACTATCATCAGCAAGGCGGAGACGATTAGCGGACTGTAGAGCTTGATCTTTGTTCCTCCCCCCTGTGGGTTGAGGGTTCAAGAATTTACCCGTTTTAAGAGGCGACTAAAATCCAATAGTTTCCGCGACAGTCGGGTTTTCATACCGGAACGACCCAGATTTTTATCCGGCCAAGAACTGTCATTCCCGCAACATTCACCAAAAACTATTTTTGGGGAGTATTTTTGCGGTAACAACAACAACTACAACATCTTTGTTCCTCGAGACTGGACTTTACTTTTCAATTGCCTCCTGAGTCCACACTAACGCCTCCTGCTTTAGATTTACAGGCTGGCATTGTTATTGGTGTTAACTGCCAATAATGACGCGGTAACCGTCATAACTCTTGTGCGTCTCGCCCTCGTTTACTGCCAAACCCATACGCTTTACTTCCTTATTCAGTCTGGAGAGAAAAGAACTTGCGTCACGGCTGTTGAGGCCAGTTACACGATAAGCAGCCTTTTTCTGTGAATCCTGGAGAAGTGCTCTTTCCATAAATTCAGTTAACTCTGGGCATCAGGTTGCTAGGTAACCACTCATAGTCTTTCAGGGGCTTTTTCTGGTCTTGAAACCTTTTGTAATTTGCCTCATTGCCTCAATATCTCTTCTATCCCATCCGTGTAGTAATCGCTCGTAACGTTACGAGGATGTTTTCTCTTCACTGCGGAGACGTACTTCTCACTGTATCATTTTTACCAGCAGTTTCGTTTTGGCTTCAAATGCCATCCCACAGTTCTTTTATACCGAGTTGCTGGTGAGTGATCGCAGAGAGTAAGCAGGTAAGTAAGTAAGAGTAGACAACCGTACGGTTGTTTTCGATATCAAATCTTCATTGTGTTTGTTGATGGGCGTTTTTAGCTGCTTTGATTTGGATTTTGACAAGACGTTCATCCACCAGGATGAGTGCCGAAATTAGTTGACGGATTCTCTCTCCCAATACGAACCCATCTTCTTTTTTCTTTTTGCACTTCTTGAACGGCGTTGATGCCAACTTTTAGCCCTAAGAGGACGTCAACCTGCTGGGAAGAGGAGACTTCCTTGAAAAAGCCCATAGTCGGAAGGAGCAGAGTCTGGGGAATGCCGCGGGTGGAATAAGGTATGTAGGGAGCTTTATAAGGTAGTTTTTGAATGCAACGTCGAGCGTTGTCATTTTGCGAATTTTAGTCATGCATTTTGAGTCTTTCTTGTCAAGCAATATACTGTTTCAACGCGTTGATTGTAGTCGATAACGTTTCACCTAGTTGTAGCAAAATATATCGTTATAATTTTTTTTGGTTTGTCCACGCTCTTTTGATCTCTTCGACCTTAAAAAAAAAACTTTCGAAGCGTCGAAACACTCATTGCATTACTTATCGGTCGGCGTAGAATCACCCTAAACTCTCACAAGCATTCGAATGTTTTCTGCTGCACATTTCCTACAATTCAAATAGAAAATAAAAGTTTCCTGCCATTACAAATCCAGAAACTCTCGAAGAAGCAAAAAAAGTACTCATTGTGGACGGATGTGAAACCTTTCCAATGAAAATCGGGTGTTGCTGCCAAAACCGGTGACCACTTGCAGGTGGAGTTCTTTTCTGAAATTTGGGTTACGTATACGCACTGTCGTACCGATGCAAATTGTATGAGTTTATATATTTGTTACAGTCATACAATAATACTATATGTATATACATATTATATATAACAACAACTGATGGCAGTTTCTGATGGGGATACTTGTTTACTCAATTTATATTCCCACAGCGTGACAAAATGTAGGATGTATGCACGCATGTTGTAATATCAATTTGTTTTGTAACAATAAATTTATGTAACCTTTTGCCCCCTTCCACTCACGCTTTCGAAAATCATTAATAATGATTTTTAACTTTAGCAATATCCGTGACACGAAAAGCTACTTCTTTTTGGATACAAAAATATATTAATTTTTTTTAGCACAAACACGCCCGGATGCCGGCGGAAAAAAAGTTTTGCAAATAAAAGAGTAGAAGAAAAATGTAAATTGAGATATCTGAGTAAAAATATTAAAGGTGTGCCTTTGAAAGTAGAAACAGTTTGCTTTATAATGCAAATAAAATTTTTGTTTTTAGGCAGAATATTTGTAAAGTATCCCAGAGTATTGTACATTTCTTTGCTGCTTGGTGTTAATCAAACTTTTTTCACTTTTGATCTCACCGATATGTATTTTACGCCTAAATGTAGGCAACTTTTATTAATAAGGCTAGTGCAGACCGCAGAGAAGTGATCGACAGACCTTTGCCCAGAGTAAACTGATTTGTTAGAGTGAGCCTTTCAGCTTTATGAATGGCAGTGAAAAAGCAATATCCGGAAGATAGTCAAACCGAAAAGCTAATCCATGACAATAAAACAGACGTTCCGTCATCCGAAAATGGTGAAATTTGAATAGCTATTGCTCGCTTGAAAAACAAGCGGCAGAAGTAGATGATTTAAAGATGATTTAATGGCTGTACTATTCAGCTTTTTTTGCAAACTTCGGTCGGTTGACGGCTTATGTCTGGCGACCGAAAATCGATGTGCTCTACCTAATCCACAACAAAATGATATCGTCTGTAAGGTCGTATCTGGCGTATTTTCTGATTCAGCTGTCAACGAGCAACCTTCCATAGCACGAAAAGGAGCCGCTTCGCATATGGAAGTTGGGCAACATTAAAAAGTTCTATTAGGATCGGGAAGTATCTCTCCAGACTTTTCGATAAGAAATGTTCTGCTAGGAAAGGTAACTTCGTGTGACGTATTTTTTATGTATTGCTGGAGAAAATATTACAATCATCAGAGTTAAACAGAAAAGATGTCATCTTCCATAAGAGAGTACACCTGCTGGCGTATGCCCATGATTGATAAAAATGGCTTTCACAACTGCATTTCTTTAGGTCAAACAAAACAGCAAGGCGGATGAATCTGTTGGTCACTGTCATCAAATAAAAAAAAAAATTATAATGTACAGCCAAGATATAATAACTTCGTAAGTCTTGAAACCAGCAACAATATCAGGAACAAAGCCAGGCAATGTAATAATTTCTATGAAAAGCCGTTTAAAAATCGTGTGATCTAACGCCGCTTTGGTGGGATCCGAGCTATCAAAAATGGAATTTGATGTTAAATTAAATTTCTTAGTTAGACTGAGAGACCACCAGTGGTTGACTAGAAGACTACTAGTATGTTTTAACATTCGTTCATCTTCTTTTATTTATCCCAATTAGGAGCAAGTGTGTAGGGCTTTTGATTGTCCTACTATGCATCAGTTTCATACTAGTTAAATACTAGTATATTTAGACATGCTGAATTTTTATTTTAACAAATCATTTTCTCTACATTGTGAGGCCAATTCTTCGCCAACTAAATAATTTAACATAGACAGAAACAGATGGTAATCTAACCAAGCTCCAAGAGATACTGGTGAGTAACTACCGTTGGCCAAATCTGAGCACTTCTGGGCGGTTGCTTTCTTCAGATGGTTTAACTCCTGTTAACAAAGAACCGAGGAGTGTTTGGCCGTAGAGGAGCAGCTTCCAATGGATGATTGCTTGCCGATCCCACCAAACATACAACAAAACCATTCGGGTCATCAGCTCGGGCTTGGAGACCGTTTTGTGCCGGCTCATTGCCCTTCGACTACTATTCATGAGGCACCCACGCATCGAGCGTCCTTGTGTATCAAGTCTTTTTCAAGTGGTTCCAAATGGTTTTTTGAACAAAGTGTAGCTCCTGTGCAGTTGAAGCAGTTCAAGCATGATCGCCAGCTTCGACGGTTTCCATTGTTTTATCGACTTTTTTGACCACTAGGCTTCCTTACTGTGCCGCATATTTGACATCAAAACTACCGGCGCGATATAAGCTAAACCAAAATCGAATTTGACCGACTATTAATATATCTGAACCATAATCACTGTACACATTTTTAGCTGCCACTTGTGTTTTCGCCTTAATCGAAGAAATATTTTAGAAAAGAGCGTATTTTCTCTTTGACTGTATGCGCCTTTCAAATGCCCTCAAACACCATTGAGTTAAGTGATCAACACTGTTACCATTAATCTTTTTAGTACAAAATAGCATCTTTCTAGCGCCATCTAGCGTAGTCCAGTCGATCAAAGATACAGATCACTAAAGCCCTATTGCAAAAATAGTGGATTAATTTTTACTTAACCTTGAATTGCCTCCTTTATTTATATATGTTTGTATGTAATGAATAATATACTCAAATCTGTATGAAGGTATTTCCATTTAATGCAATTGAGCTACATACTATATGGAAGAACAAATTATTGTTGTTTTTTATGCATGTAGAATTTTATTTATAGACGCTAAAACTTGTTTAATCCATACCTAAATATAAATGGAATGTGTATTGTACTTGTGAAATGCTAAAAATTCTTTTTTCTCTGAAAAATGTATTTCAACCACTATATATGTTTGTTCATCAGCGTACTGAAGTTTTTAGAATATATGTAAGTATGACTGTAGATATATCTCGAATTCATTTTAAGTGCAATAAATCACCCTTTCATAACCAAATCCCTACTATTATCCCTCAATGCGAGGTCAGATTGGGGTGATTGGGGTTATGTGGGATCAACGGTTTGATTTCATTTTCATTTTACTACATTAACTTTTATGTAGATATCAGTGTAATGTAATAATAACGATAGTTCATGTTCACTAAAATGTTTTCAAGTGGTTCATGAACAAAAACAAAAAACCGAAAAACGAAATAACCAAAACTCACTGAAATGGGTAACGTGAGAGAGTTTAATGGTAGCTATTAAAGTTTTATACCAAATTTGTGGCTAAAGCAGAGCGTAACATTGCATAGCTGTTGGAAAGTAAGAGAGACAAAAAGGGGAAAAAATTTCTGGCCAAAAAATTGGGTTTTCATAAAATTCTTTTTTGTAGTTTTTTTTTTTGCATGTGTCAAACCACAAAATCCAAAAAATTATAATTTCCTTTAACAACAAAAAAAAAACGATTAAGAATATTTACTCTTTACTCTTCTTAAATTTATCTGTCTGTAATTTTATTGGTTTTAATTTTTTTTTGCGCCGTGACTCACCTATGAAGTAATTGGTTACGGTTCGCATTCTTTTCGTTGTCATAACAATCCAAACGACAATTAAATTGCCACCCGTCGCCACCACAACCATGCCAACGAAGAGGACGTTCCACAGCACAAGGCGCCACCATGGCAGATTGAATGAAATGTCAGCGTCGCTGTAAGAAATACAAGAAAAAAAACAGAGAATAAAAGTAGGTGGTGTAAGAAAAAATGCACAGATTAAAAGAGAATGAAAATGTACGAAAAAGGAAAAGGAGAAGTAGAAGAAGTTAACGATGAAAAAAAAACACAACGAGCAATTGATGTTACAAATTAACCGCATTTATTGCTTACTTCTAGGGAAGCATGCGTTAAAGCGTAACGTAATTTGTATTTGAGTGGCGTGACAGGGCGTATGAGTAACATTTCAGCTTTAAGAGTTGCTGGACTGTATTACATACATATCAGTAGTGGTGCATTCAGCTGGACGTTATTTGGAATTTAAGTTTTCAACTCATCCTCTATATAAGTATATATAAATACTTGTTTGTATGTTTGTTTTCGCGGATCTCCGAAACTATACGGCAGATTATAATGAAAATTTATCTGTTTGTTTCAATGTTTTCCAGAAGGGGTTCTGAAAAAAACTTTCAAATTTCAAACTTTCGATCATGCCGAAGTCTTTACACGTTTCAAGGTCATATCAAATTTATGGTATTTGATTTTAGTTTTCAATTATAATTCTCATATCGGGAAAAGTGTTTGATAAATTTTTTTTTTTATGACTTACGACTTTTTTATGGCTTACCTCAAAGTATTCATATTGCCATTGACGTGAATGATTCTGAGCAGTGCGCAAGCGACATGTGAAGGTAAATAAATTACGTCAAACATATTGGTGCTTAATTTGAGCTTTAAATCATTTTCTCAATACAAATTAGTATAAATAAAATACAGAAGGCCAGAACAATGTGTGGTCAAATTTGCTATTATGGCATAATGGAATGTGGAAGCTAAAATAGTGCTTTCTCCCAAAGAATCTTTTCTGTAAACAATTCTTCTTTATTTTAATAAAAAAAATTGATTCGAAAAATTTCAATTTCAGTTTGCACTTGAAATCGGGCACGAACTTATGCTCTCATCCAATACTTAATCTTAAGTAAAGGTAGATTTATTTCTGAAAAAAATTATATTTAATTTTTCAACTTTCCAAAATTATAATATTTTTTTCACACATTTTTACAAGTTTTTTATATTATTTTAATGCCAAATGAGCTCAATGGATTTTTTGAATTTTTTTTTGTATTGACCAACAGTCAATGGTATAATCAAATCTAAAAAGTTTGAAATAAAAGAGTTTATTCAAAATTTGTTAACAACAAATTCATCATATAAAAATATATGTACTTGTATAATACTACTACTATTTAGTGATATTTTGACATCTGCCAAACTAAATTTTAAAGAAGTTTGAATATACTAGATCGGTTACAGATGTAAGGCAACGCCGCACATACCTCGATTGGGTGCTTCAACAACAAACAGTGGACGGCGATTTTCTGAACAGAAGTTTCTTCACCGATACGTCACATTTCACTCAGTGGATATCCAATTAAGTAAAATTGTCATACTTTGGATTCCAAGAATCCTCAAAAAAATATCCAAAAAAAATTACTGTCTTACTTGAAACAAACTTTCGTAAAGCTATGGCTGAGATACCGTCCAAAAAATAATGGGAAATTACCTCAAACAGATCGAAGTTTCAAAAAATTTTCGAGATGGTCATTTGAATGATTCCGTGTTTCACAATAATGCAAATGGGTAACCCTGTATGTACTTTCGACATCATTAGTACTATGGGTGAAAACTGAGTAGTAGTCATGTAAAAATTTATAGGAAAAGCGATATTTAACAAATCAACGGTACCAAAATAACGAGGAAGTTGGTCTGAAATACATTTATCTATGTATCATTAAAAATAAAGTAAAATTTATGGCTCTTAAAGCTCACATATTAACGGAGGCTCAACAATAGAAACCTCACACAATTTCTTTTTATAAACATACGTGTCAAAGATAACAGCAATATAATTTTAGGTATGAATGTATGTCTCTTGCCAAAGTACAGATTAAGCATATAAAGAGACATGGAAAAAGAATTGAATACGTTGCTAGAGCTTAGCATAAACAATGTCATTTCGTTAGAGTTCATATTGTATGAAAAATTTTATCAGCTTCATACAAACAGTCGCATACATTCATACAAGCATACTCTGGAATTCTTTTGAATGCACACATGTTCTCATTGAAAACTAGGAATGTGGAAGCTACGGAAGGCAAGATAAACCAAATTTTCCTGGGGCTGTTTAAGCAAATAAGAATTTGCTGTAGGCCTATAATCTCCTTTTTAAAAATTACTTACACAAAGAAGAATTCATTTTTGTATTTGTTGAAAATGTTTTTGTCTTCCGTTACTTTAAGGAAATCAAGTGGAAAGTTAGGGAACTGAGAGAAATTTATGGAGTTGCATGCTAGAGATGAGTGGGTGGTTTTAATAATTTCTGCATCGAATTTTAAATAATAATGAGAAATAAAATAAAATAATTTAAAAAAAATATAAAGTTAAATAAAAAAATGAAATAAAATAAATTAAAATAAAATAAAATAAAATAAAATAAAATAAAATAAAATAAAATAAAATAAAATAAAATGAGATAAATTGAAATGAAATGAAATAAAATATAATAAAGTAAAATTATTAAAATAAAATAAAAAAATGAAAAAAATATTAAGTAAATAAAATCAAAGGAAATTAAAGAGAAGAAAGTGAAATAAAACGAAAGTAAATAAACCAAAATAAAATAAATTAAATAAAATATAATAAAATAAAATATAATAAAGATTTACCGGCAAATACCTTTATTCAAAATATGCATAATATTAAATTTAATTACAACCCAAAGTACTACCCGCAAATGATCGAAATTTAGTTCAAATCAAATATGAAAACACACTGGTGCAATTAAATTTTATCGTGTTACATATGTATACTTATTTATACATTTGTTACAAGCTGAACTGTCGAAAGCAGATTGCTGTTTTTGATTTTTTTTTAGAAACACGTTTTTCGACGAATTTTCGTTTGAACAAAAGCAAATCTAAATTTGCGTATATCAGCAATGGAAAAACTCTATTGCTTTATTAAAAAATAAATAAATAAAAAAATTAATAAATAAAGAAGAGTAGCTGCAAGAGAATCATATGAAAAATTATACAATTCGTGTGTGCATGTAATAGAAAATATGGATAGAAATAAATATTGGATAAGTGTGAATGGTTTGCACAAACATATGGCGCGCCGTAAACCAGACAGTCTGGCAGACATGCAATGTGCAAAAGTAAATAATAAAGAAAAAAGCAGAAAAAAAACAATGTATGAAAATGGAATGCACGTTGTGATTTTATGGTAATTAATGTTTCTTTCTGTTAGTCACAATCGATTGAATAGGATTTTGCGTGTCAACAGCAGATACATCATCATTTCAAGGCAAACACTTCAATTAAGCATGTATGTATGTATGTATGTGTGTTTCGGTTAACTTATTATTTTTTTTAACAATTTACCTAATTCGAAGTGAAATCGTTTTTACGTCATTCCGATGGTGGATTCATTTATGCAATGAAATGCAAAAAATATTTACAGTTTAAGAAAATTTCGCTTTTGGTTGGTTTGGTAGGAAGTTTTAATTTGAAATATGCGCAAAAATCCAATTTATGCTATTATGATAAAATCTCCTTTAGCTTTTATCGATAATGAGATGCTGCTTTAGTAAGTAAAGGCATAATAGAAGAAAAAAAGAAGAGAAATCGGCATTGGTGAATTCTTTATACCTTTCATGGCCAGATCATATTTATGGAATTTTATGATTAAATATTAATTGTATTATCTGAAAAATTGGTTGGAGGGGCTACAGCGGGTATACAGCTATCCGATTTTCGGTGACAATGCTCTTTTTTTGTTTGTATATATATGTGGACGTGTGTAGAATACAAAGTCTCACGGCTGCAGTTGCCTTTTTTGACAAATTTTTGGCGAAAAACCTCATATCTGAAGAACTCCGGCGCATGGGGGCTATATTATATAGTTCTCCGATTTCGATGATTTTCGATAACAATGTTTATATTATATTTTATATATAAGCGTGTAGAACACCAATATTAATGTTCTTTAATGCATTTTTGACGGTTCTGGATTAAAAATATCTCAGATCTGAACGAATCGATTGTATAGGGGCTATATTATATAGGTATCCGATTTCGATGATTTTCGATAACAATGTTTATATTATATTTTATATATAAGCGTGTAGAACACCAATATTAATGTTCTTTAATGCATTTTTGACGGTTCTGGATTAAAAATATCTCAGATCTGAACGAATCGATTGTATAGGGGCTATATTATATAGGTAACCGATTTCGATGATTTTCGATAACAATGTTTATATTATATTTTATATATAAGCGTGTAGAATACTAATATTAATGTTTTTAATGCATTTTTGACGGGTTTTTGATCAAAAAAATCTCATATCTGAACGAATCGGTTGTATGGGGGCTATATTATAAAGGTAATCGATTTCGACGATTTTCGATAACAATGTTTATATGTATATAAGCATGTAGAACACCAATATTAATGTTCTTTAATGCATTTTTGACGGTTTTTGGTGGAAAAAATCTCATATCTGAACGAATCGGTTGTATGGGGGCTATATTATATAGGTAACCGATTTCGATGATTTTCGATAACAATGTTTATATGTATATAGATGTGTGGAACACCAATATTAATGTTTTTAATGCATTTTTGACGGTTTTTGATCAAAAAATCTCATATCTGATCGAATCGATTGTATAGGGGCTATATTATATAGGTAACCGATTTCGATGATTTTCGATAACAATGTTTATTTGTATGTACGTATGTAGAATACTAAATGTCATTCTTTTAAATGAATTTTTGACAAATGTACTTCCCACAATCTCAAATCAGAAAAGTCGGTCGCATATATGTTGTAGTGGTTCGAACTGTCTTGTTTCGACAAATGAGCGTTTGAATGTACAAGTGCATAATGTGTGCTAAGTTTGGTTGAAAAATCTAAAAATTGCGTGAG